GTTGTTATCAGATTTAGTTGGAATGGTTTGTCCAGGGATAAAGTCTCTGAGATTGGATTTCAGAAGGGAGAATAGTTGTAAAGCTAGTGAAGTGTTAAGTTTGTTATGTTGTTGCATAGTTGGTGTGATGGGGTAGCTTTTAAACCAGTCAAAGTCTTTAGAAGTATCACGTTTTGGAGTATTTACTTTTTGTTTGGATTGCTTGTTGTTAACATCTTTTTGTTTACTGTCATTTGAAGTTTCTTTTTCATCAGTGTTGTTGTTTGATTGTTTATCGGTAGTTTTAATCTTTTTGGGGAGTTTTTCCAAGAATGTTTTGAAGAGAACACGCTTATCTTCTACCGATAGCTGTGAAAATTTAATTTTGCAATAAAGACCACGTTGTTCCCAGTTCATAGGGCTTGTAGGTTTAGCTAGCTTTAATTTGAGTTTATGGATACATTGAGAGTGAGCTGGGAAGCCACCTACTTCAGTTTTGAATATAAGGGCATTTGGGTCTAGTGAGTGATTATTGTCAGTCAGCATAATACAGGGTACATCTTTGGTTTTGCAAACAATGCATGTATGTGCATGGTGAGAAAAGGTGAGAAAGGAGATTTGGTTATTGGTATCTTGTCTAATATTGCTATAGCAGTTGGGAAATGGATGAACAATATTGTGTTTAGGTTGAAAGGATGACTTGGGTACATTGTTAAGAGATTTGTATAGTTTAGCATCAAGATCAATTTCCATTGAATTGGATGACTCAGTTGTGGATGCAGGGGTAGTATCGGGAATGGGTGATAATGATAAATGCTGTGAAGAGAAGTATGTGTGATATTTGTGACAGAAACATCTTGTGATAATAGGTTGAGTAGGGCTGGAGAAAAAGTGAAAACCATTATGGATGTCACATAATGTAGGATTGTAGTTGGATGGAAGTACTTTGAAGCCTTTACAATTTTTGTCCGCAGTAACTAAGGTTCGGTCACTATATTTGTTCCGGAGGGCATCTACATCGAAAGAGTCCGGTTCGACTGTACTGATGCTTGGCATTTTGTGTAACTATTCTAATGTGGTGTTTGTACTAGCATAAAACAAATTTCAAATAGGATTAAATAATCTGATTTTTGGATAAAATTTTCTATATTGGAGGTCTTACAGGTGAGCTAAAAGGAATCTGAGAAATGTGTGGCTTTCAGAAAAGCCAATTGGATGTTTAGGAAATTTTAAAGGGTGCTAGAAAAGTGAATTTTCCGGGTCAACCCAATGAATTTTCCTAAATTTACCAGTAAAATAACCTGCAAAGACAGGTTGTAGTTTTTGCCTTTTGTCCGATATCTCAGTGAGTTTTGATTTGTTTGCAATAAAATATATATCAAAATGACCGTAAAAGAGAGCTTGTTATTTTTCTAATAGGTAACAGGATATATTTAATTAGTAAAATATCTAGCAAATGAGCAAAAACCAAAAATTTGATTTTTGAAACTTTTCTCAATGGCCAAGTATTGTAGAGACTAGAGACTTAGCCGCCTAGGAGGAGAAAAGTGGGCTGAGCAACTTTACTTAAAGGTGCAAGTAGGATTTACTTAATAAAATATTGAGAAATAGTTAAATGTTTTTAGCAAAAATTTGGTACAAGTGATCTACTAAATTTATATATGTATAATATATTATTAATATATAATTATAATAAAATTAAAATAAATTTTTTAAATATATATATATAATGATTTTTTTATATTAAATTTATATCTTTAATATATATTTAATATATAATTATAATAAAATTAAAATAAATATTTAAAAAATCTTTTAAATATATATATAAAAGATATTTTTTATATTAAATATATATATTTAATATATAATTATAATAAAATTAAAATAAATATTTTAAATATATATATATAATATGTTTTTTTATATTAAATTTATATTTTTAATATATATTTAATATATTTTTAATATAAAGTTATAATAAGGTTAATATAAATATATATATATATTTTTTTTTTTTTTTTTAACTTTAGCAGTCACGCTAGTACTTTATTAGGATTCTTGAAACTATACAAATTACATAGAATTTTCCTGATATATAAGTCTAGCATTACTCGGCCACCCAAATGGTACCTAAGTACGATCTGCCGCACTATCTCAGTTAGAGATAGACTGCTCGTCTGACTGCCGCCCTACAATAGGACATCACCAGTCTGATGACATCTTTTCATAGGGAAGCAAAAAACAAAAAAAAATTTTTATAAAAAACAAAACAGAGGTATAGGGGTAAACGATAAAAGATACAAATTAAGAAATAAAAGGGAAAAGGAAATGAATGAGAAAAAAGGAGAAGTGTGAAACTTGCAATTCACAAATATCAGACGGTCACAATTGTATGCCTGTGTCGGGCCTTTAAAAATTATAAACTATACTAAATAGAAATTACTCTACTATTTTCCTATTTACTTAGATTATTTAACAAAAAACCAAAAAGGAGAAAAAAAAAAAAACTTCGACTTTATCGTAGAGGGTCGGTATAAGGCACTGGTTAGTCTGAGAGCAGTGTTTGACAGGTTTCTAGCAGCTCGAGGCATGTGTATAGTTGTGTTTGTATCACTGTATTATTTCTGATCTATGTCGTCAACAATCCCGTTTAGGAAGTAAACACTGCTAACTGTTTTGGTGATTTTATGTGTCGATCTTTAGGAGGGGGTAAACTAAATCGCCCACTTTTACAAACTTTTCCTCGAAAAAAAGTGGAAGTGCTAGGTGAACCAACTTTTAGCTTCTGTGAATTCTTAACCCTTATGGATGTTCCTTGTAGGTTTTACAGTTGTATAGAACTAATATATCCAACTTTGTTGTTTACTTTATAAAAAATCTTGGCTTTCGCCGACTACTTCTTCTATAGTTCCAAAGTGCTTTTAAACTGTTACCACAAAGTTGCAACTCTTTTTCAACTCTATTTCAATGTCCAACTATGCATATACAGTACTCCAGAAAGGTTTTTATAAAGTTTAATATATTAACTATATCATTTTTCTGTAGTTTGGCTTTTTGGAAAGTTTGGTTCGAATAATCGTCGGAAAGAGTTGTTAATATAAATATATTAAAAATATAATTAATATATTTTTAATATAAAGTTATAATAAAATTAATATAAATATATTAAAAATATATCTATTATATTTTTTTTATATTTATATTAACCTTATTATAACTTTATATTAAAAATATAATAATTATATAATTTAAAAATATATTAAATATATTTTTAACATAGAGTTACATCAAAGTTAAATAAATATATTAAAAATATTTTTATCATATTTTTATTATATTTTTTATTTTTACAAGTTTCTGTAAAGTTTGTTTGTAAAGAAAAAAAAGTCAAAACCAACTCCAAATATTATAACTACTACTTCTACTGTTATCTTTCTCTATATTATCAAACTGCAACTGAAAACCACAATATACAGTCTCTCTCTAAGGAAGAGGCAATCAATATTCTTACAAAAAACATTCTTGATACCAAATTCTTTGCCCAAATTATCACCTATTTTGATGTAGTAAAAAACCAAAAATCTACATATTTGCAAATTGTTAAATATTTTAATGATACTGCTTATCTAGCAGCTAAAAAATTTTAGTAAAAAAATTCAACCTTGACTTTTAACCAGTCTCAATTCTTGACTCCCTCTTTTTACAATCTCTTTTTTAAGTTCTCTGTCTTCTACATCCTACATTAAAGCAGCCACCAACTTATTAAAGGATACAACCACTGTAGTTAATAAGGAAAATAAAATAAGTAGGCAGATGGATAAGCCTATTTATGTGAAAGGCCAAGTTAATGATGGTCAGACCTAATGCACAAGGCAGACTATGGTATTTTGCACAGCTGTGAGAGCCAAGCATATGGTGATTGCCCCTATAGAAGACAATCACATATACCTTCCTAATGATATTTTTTTACCTGATTATACTGTTATTCTTTTACATTTTTTTCTTTTATTTTATCATCTTCCTCTTAGATCTAATTCTTTTACTCCTACTTCTATTTTACCTGATTTATTTTCTAACAATTATTCTTCAACCTCTTCAAACTATAATTCTTTTTCTTCTTTATTCAATCCAACTCCACATTATCTTAACTTAACTATTGCTCTTCCTAATAATAGCACTTCAATTCCTATTCATATTCTCAATAATCTTATTGAAGATGCTATCTGCAATCACAAAAACATTTGGCTACTCTCACAAGACATGAGCAAAGCATATGATTCTGTAAACTTTGCTCTTTTTAAACATTCACTCACTTGCCTCTCACTTCTCTCATCTATTATTAACATTCTTTCTGATCTCCTTACTAACCATCACAACTAAGTTATTACTAATCTTGGTCTTATTTCCTCTTACCTAGTTCATAATGGTATTGACCAAGATAAAACAATCACTCCCCTATTATGGCATATCTACTATGATCCACTTATTTCATACATATACTCAAAAGTACCTAGTTACATCCTACAATCTATTTGGACTACTAACCTAAAACTTCAAACATCTAATTCATTACAAAAACAATGCTTTGTTTTGGCATATATGGATGATACCCTCTAGGTTGCTTCTTCACAAACTGAGCTTTCTCATATATTATTCATTGCTGAATCATTTTATGCTATGGCTAACATTCAAGTCAACCTCTCAAAATCCATCTTGGTTACCAATAATCCTTCACCTCATTATACTTCTATCTCTTATAACAATCACCTTCTTTCACTTCATTCACCTAAACAACCTTTTAAATTTTTAGGTTGCTGGTTTACTTTAGATAATAGACAATTTAAACAAACAAAACTAATTATTGCTGAATTTTCTCAACTTATTCAAATTGCAAAATCCAACTGTATAACTGACTTACACACTTGTTACATTATCAACACAGTTATTATTTCTACTATTGAATATCGTTTATACAACACTGTTATTAACCAACCTACTTGCAACAAAATTTTTACTCAGCACATTGGTCTTGTTAAGCTTAAAGCCAAACTTTGTCACACAATACCTTCTAGTATCTTATTATATTCCCAAATCTACAACATTAAACATATCTGGAATATTCAACTACAACATCATATTTCTAACTTTCTCAAATAACTTAACAATCCTGACCTACTAGGCACATCTACCCATATATGAATTCAACAACTTCAAAACAACTTTTGGTTTTCTACCAATATTTTTCTACATTCTAACCCAATTATCAATAGACCTAATCACTTAATTACAAACTTCAAAATAATACAGCTTATTAAGCATATAGGCTGGATCTTTTCAACTAGCCCAATCTACAACATTCCACATACTCTAAATGATGGAACTATCTCTCTTAAATTTCTTCTCTCTTCTTATCCAAAATATTCTATTTTCA